GCCCGGTTGGACCCAGAACTGCATGGAGGACCTGGTTCACACGTTGCAGTACACTCGGTGCATGGTACGGCAAAGCCGACGACGTTAGAATGGAAGTGCTGCTAAATACTGTTGCAACCGCAGGGCTGACGAGTGGGAATCCGCAAGGGCAGCAACAGTTGGCACTGTGTCGAAGAGGTCTCCAGCACTGCTTTGGTAGGGTTCTTTCCGTTCAGGTCCGAGGCACGGAACTGGCCCGAAGTGAGCGAATGGAGGCATAGCTGGCCTCAGCGGATATCTTCAAGACCTTGGCATAACGCCATCCTGCGACGGAGCTCTCTTTCACCCTCGCTTACTCCTCCTGCTCCTGCGCCTGCTCCTCCAATTCTAAAGGTCATCGCCACCACCACCACCACCGCCGCCATCATCACCGTATTTCCCATAGATGCAGAAACAACAGAAACAAAAACAAACACAAAGAACTACACTGAGAACACGGACGACAAGAACACAAACAACAACTGTAGCTACCAAGATCACAGGACAATCAGGAACTACGACGACGACAGCACCACAAACACTCAGGCATCGTCGTCATCATCATCGTCAAGATGATGATGATGATCATCATCATCATCAGCACCAGGATCATCAGCATCATCATGTCCATCATCATCGTCATCATCGCCATCATCATCATAAACAACATCATCCGTCATCATCAGCACCACCACCACCACCATCACCATCATCATCATCATCACCCTCATCATCACCATCACCACCACCATCACCATCGACATCCGGAACAACAACATCATCGGCATGTTCTTCGATTTCGTCAATGATCATCACCCAGGACATCATCACGATTCCTGCGGCATGCGAACGAACCACTGCCTGCGATGGCCGCACCCTCCCCAACAGTGAGCATCAACTCTTTCGCAAGTGTGGGTTGCATGGAGCCGACACTCTTTGAGCCAGGTAGACGAAATTCCTCTGTGGATCTTCGCAGCATCGAGCACAACAAAAACAACTCACAGCACCGTTTTAATATAGTCAAATGTCAACCAAGCGACGTGGGCGGGGGCATTGGCACGGCATGGGTAGGTATGAACTGCCCGAACGGTGGGCCGTAGTAGGGAAAGGGCGCTGGCGCTTTGTGAAGAATGGCTCCTTCGACCAGCTGAGGAGGGGTGGCAGACTTGCAACGGATGATGGCACAAGGAACAGCAAGGAAGCCGTCTTTGAGTCAAAACCGTGACAACCGTTAAACGACCGACAGCAATGACTGTGCAGCCCAGTCAATATGCTCCACGGGCAGTCGTCGGTCGTGTTTCTCAAGACCATGATCGCAGCATTTGAATAGACACTCCGAGCCACCTGAACGTTTCTCACCCCAACCAAATGTGCTCCTGGGCCCATCATCGGTGGGGCCTTGACCGGCGCCGGAAAGGGTCGCGTTCCAGGGCCTCCCCTTAGTTGCATCTTGAGACGAACGGGCTAAAAGGATTCAGGAGGCGAGTGGGCGATATTAAGCTTCGGGGCTTAGGCTTTTCACGTGGACACGTGCACCCTTGTGGTACTTGTTTCAAACGAAAACCGATGAAGGAGGGACTTGACATGATTTCCAGAAACACGACACACAAAATGCTGCTGACCCCGGTGGAAAAAGCAATCTCGCTGGCTGATTTCGATGAGACCTTTGAAGCCCGCCAAGCTGTACAGTAGAAACACACCGTTGGCACATCAGACTGAACCGATCCGCACACATTATCAACAGTTCCCGAGCCGAGGCACAGGTATGTCACTGGCCCAGAGGTAGCAGCTCCCATTTCGGGACCTCGATCCAGGAACTTCGTAGGTGAAGCATGAAAGCAAACTTTTCAGGCTCTCAACAACAATGCAGCCGTTGCCTCCACGGGCGTGCTGGGTCGTTGGTGTCTGTTGATGGCTGGGCGGTGCAGTTGGGGTCCGACGCAGAGGGTTAAACGGGGCAGGAGGGGTCTCCTCATCAGGAGGTGGTTGGGGTGGTTGGGGAGGCTGCGGCTGTGGCTGCGCTCCATAGGACTGTGGCGGGCCCTGTGGCATCGGAGGCATCTGAGGTGCCGGAACCACCTGCCGGTTTCAGTCAAGGAGGCGCGACTTCTGCAAAGCTACAAGCGATCTTGCCACGAACCCCGGCATCTTAGCACCATATGGACGGTCCATGCCAGGCTCAGGCTCCAAAACATCATGACAACATCGCTGGGACTTCCTCAGGCTTTTGGTCCTTCGAGCCTGGGGCATGGGCCCTCCCATTGCCACGGGCACCGGCACGGGCATCCCGGCAGGATGCATTTGTGGACCCGGGAAGAAAGGCGCAATTCCTGCCGTATCGGTTTGGCGAAGTTCTGGATGCTCCGCTAACTGTAACAGATATAGCCCGACCGGATGAACCCTGGTAGCACTTGACCAATGCATGTGGGAACTTTGGCACAGGCGCCCGAGATCCCGTGCCATAGCCCCATGTCTCTACCAGCAGCCACAGACCAGAGTCTTTTGTTTTAACGACCATCAGCCTGACAAAGGGACTCGAAAGTCTGAGTATAAAGGAAACCGCCTTGGAAACTCACACTCCCTTCGGTCCTTGTGGTATCTCCGGGTGTGGCAGCGGAGCCTGAAAGGCTTCGATCTTCTGGCGACAATGAATATGTTGACATATTGGACCGCCTAGAAAACCCGTTTTGCAGTGCTGCTGCACCCTTTCTACCCAATCTACACAGCTGGCCAATGCCACACAGTCGCCACGAGCTGAATCGCATGCGGCGGCGGGGGCGGCGGTGGACCGAACATGGGCGGCGGGCCATTCCTGCATGGTTTGCAGGCTGTTCTTACTCAGGCCGTTCTTACTCAAAGCCACAACAAAACGGCCCGTCGGGCCCATCTTGACTGATTGCGGCCAAGCTGCTGGAAGACTGGGACATTGTACGGAAATCCAGGTCCCGGTCCCGGTGCAGGCGTTGTGCCTTATGAGTGCTCTGCTGAAAGCGAGCCGCAAAAATCGGAGAAGGGGCCGGTTTGGGCATCACACCACCAGTACACACCATGCAGACTCCAACCAAATCCCCGAACCCCCTGAGCACCGATGCTGCTGGAAGCCCCACTGTCGGAACGGCCCACGGGGCCCACGTCGATTGGGCGCTGGACCATGTGCCTGAAGCAGCAGGGGTGGCAAGTCTTTATAACTCAAGCGACTCTTGTGCGCAAGCCCCGGTTCGTTGACATGCCGGGTCCAACCCCGGGGTGAGCGCTAAACCCGACACAGTCACCCACGAACTATACCGTAGATCCGGAAAACCAACTGCGAGATGGGCCGCAGAGTCGGAGGCCAAGTCAAAACCTTCGGTAGACTCTGCAGCCCAAATCGATGAACATTTTAAGCCCGGAAGCAAAAGCGAAGTTCCGAAACGAAGGCAGCGAGTTAGCAATCCGGACACCTATGTAAGCGAGGCAGCAAGAAGCCTGAACAAGTTTTAGGCTTGTCGTTTCTGCTTGCTTCTCGTTGTGCGAGTCGAGTTCTTTCAACCGTTCTTTCCGTTACGCAGATCTCACCAGCTTAGGATAACAGGGCTATAGCCAAGGTAGCAGCAACAATCGAAACTAGTAGCAGCAGCAGCCGCCGAAGAAGGAATTTGGGAAGCAGGGAGCGGGGTGCAGCAGAGGTTTAACCCTTCCAACCCTTCAAAACAAATCCTGCACAGGAACCTCAACAATCGCAATAGAGCTGACATCGCTACTCCATCCCGCGTGGATTCGACATAGATCACCATACTAGACTGACAAGCAGATGTTTTGCATGCATTGGTATGTATGTATGTATGTATGTATGTATGTATGTATGCATGTATGTATGTATGTATGTACGTATTGTATGTACATACGTATGTATGCACGTATGTATGTGTACACGCACCCACATCTACATATGCATGTGCATATACAAAAACCCATGTATACACATATGTATACACGTACACTTCTATAGATCGATCTAGCTATATCTATACCTATACCTAAATCTATATATATATATATATATATCTCTCTCTCTCTCTATCTCGATCTATCTATCTATCGATCTATAGATCTATCTATCTATCTATCTATTTATCTGGGTGTGTGTGGCTGGGCTGGCTTGTATGTGAGTGCGCGTGTATATATATCTTAGCTATATGAGTTCATAGATTCATCGATGCATCTGTGTCTATATATGTACAAGGGTGTATATACATGCATTGTATAAAATACTTGTACATACATATAGTCAACGTATTTACATACATACATACATACATACATACATACATACATACATACATACATAGATAGATAGATAGATAGATACATGCATACATACATACATAGATAGATACATGCATACATACATACATATACATACATATATATATATATATACATACACGCCCACCCACACACAGAGATGGGTTTCTGTATCTCGAAAGCTCACTGTTACAGAAATTCTCAAGACTCCAGCCGTGCGGCAGGGTTTGGCCATTTTCGGTTACGTGTGCATCCAGCTGATCGTCGTCCTGCACAGGGGTCAGGTCGAGTCAATGTCACGATAATTTAACGAATCGATGCCTGCAGATGCCCGGAAGATCGCATGACTAGAATTGTTGTGCGAGCTCTTTCCACAAAAGGAAAACAAATGTTGGTCAAGATGTCTGCACAGCTGCCTGTATGTCGACCAAGCGAACATTTGACAACATGATCGGTGACCCCTCGTGGCAACTAACGTGCGACGATGTGGTTCATTCGGGGGCATTGAATTGCGCAGCCGCAAGCATGTCCGTGCAGTCTGCGTACTTCACCCTCAGGCCATTCGCTCTGGATGTGGCGTCAACTCACTTCGTGGCTTTGATTAATGGGCACCTTCTCCACCAGTCATCTACAGGACACGTTGCGCAAGTTGGTCCGACGGAGATGCACACATGCTTGTGAGCAAAGACTCGTCATCCTCATGCACGTGTTTCCACAAAATCTTGAACTCCCAAAGCTTGTCTGCGAGCCCCCGAAAGGTTCGCAAGGCAAAGACGACATCCAAATCTTTCTTTGGCACCGGATAGACCACACACAACCACCGAAAGAAGGCAGTTGAAGCCCTCAAAAGGGCTTCGACTCAGAAGATTCTGGTCCTGTATGGCACGACCGCGGCAGATCAAGCGCTGCCTGGCTCGTAGTGTCTTCGCGCTATTTGACGATGATGCTGAAGAATAATTAATATAGGGGCCTTGATAATCGTATAGTATAATCATAAACCCTAACAGTTATAAAGGCCCATCATATTTACAATAAGGTTTTGGGGCCCATTATACTATAATCATAGTAAGGACATGCTTGTGTTCTTCCGAATGTTCCTCACCTCTACCATGTCGAGACCCAGGAGCAGAAACAGTTCCTGGAACCACTGAAACTTAACAAGAGCATGAGGTTTGGGATTCGGTCGGTACCAAAAGAGTAGCTAGGCTCCTCCATTGTACCTTTCGGGCTTGACTTCTGTGTCCCTCCCTTCAGATGTTGGGACCTGTCTGCCGGCACGCCCAGCTTCTCGGCTAAGAGCTGCTTCAGAGCCCAGCCGTTGAAGGAGGAGCGCACCTCGAGTTGAAAGGCTGTTTGCGGTTTTCCTCAAGAAAATTCCGAAACAGTTCTGCCAGCTTTCCCTTGGGGTCTATGAAGCCTGCAACCTCCAAGCGTAGGAGTTAATTCAGGCATGCTCGGGGCTCAGAGTTAAGGGGTTATGGCTGCAGTTCAGGCATTAAGCTTTCAGGGTTCAATTTGACTACCAGAGCTGATGCGAATGCAACCTTTCAACTTACCTTGCGCGCAGGACAGCGAAAGACATTAAGACGCTCAATCGGTAGTGTCGGCCGTGCTCGGCCTGCTTTCGCAGCACCGACAAGCTTAATTATTCACGAACATAGCTGCAGCTGTGAATACATGATCCTCGAAGTGTCGCGAGAGTCTGGAGGCTCAGAAACCCCGAAACCAAACGACTCGATCAACAACTGACAACCAAAGCCCGTTATGACAGAAAGTTCGACAGCCGGAGCCCATGCATAAAGCTGTATGCGCTACCAGCTAGCACAACATGACAATCTGGATGGCGTAAAGACAACGACAGGAATGTCCGTGCATATATCGTGCAACATGCAGGAAAGGTGCTGTGACCGGCGTTGTGGACCCGTCGATTTGTTTCACGTTGATCTCGAAGATGCGAGTCCCAACCGATGCCTGCCAGTTCGTGCCGGAATTGGCCACTACCAGACTACCAAACACCGATCATCAATCTGAAGGTTTGACGTTTCTATCAACAGCTCGTCCACCTCTCCGAGAGTTTCCCAAAGGGCCTGCCCTTCGAGACTGCTGGCTGCGGCTGCAGTGTTTCTGGCATCCTCGCTGGAGCCATCCATGCTAAGGCCACACTGGCAGACTGTTGCGATCTGTATCTAGTTGACGGTTTATGCTGTGTAACTAGGCAGGTGCATATGTACGTACGTACGCATGTATGTATGTATGTATGTATGTTTGTTTGTTTGTTTGTTTGTTTATGTGCTTGTTTGTTGGTGTGTTTGTTTGTTTGCTTGCTTGCTTGTGTGTACATATATATATATATACGAATATGTATGTGACTATATATGTCTACATATGAGCTCATATATATATAGAGAGAGAGAGAGACACAGAGACAGAGACACACGCACAAACACTCAAACACACACCACTTTCTGGCTCGTCAAATATTAATGTCTGCATGTGGATGTGGGGGTAAGTGTTGTAGTTAGCCGATACTTTCGTACGTGTAAGAATGTGGTATTATGTGTGCACGCCATCAGAAACATAAGCGGCGCCTCACTCTATCTATGCATACGCAATATGCTGAAGAAATCTGGTATATGCCTGTCTTCAGGCTCCACTTCAATACGTGCGTGTAAGTACTAGGTGTTGCTATTCTGAAATACGCTCTACGCGGCCACTGATTCATGTGAATACTGGTTTAACTTATAACTCATCGCAGGCCATGCTTTTCATGAAGCTTTCTGCCAAAATGGCTGCGGCAGAGCGGTGCGTCCGTGCCACAGGACACGATGGTCTGAGCAAGGCGACCTAGTACGAAAATGAATTCTTCATGCTTGGCCACACTTACCACAAACACCCAATGTATCACAATTCCCAATGTCATAAACAAGCCGAAGCCCGAAGCTCCAACACCAATGCTAGCATGCAGGCCTCCGTGTATCCAAACCGCTACATATGGCAAACCCCACAACCCCACCCTTAGACTTTCAACCCCAGAACCCTTAGCCCAGAAAGCTTGCGACTGGAAGCCAATGAAGTCTACTTCCAAACATCCGACGATCACGAGAAACCTTAAACAAAACCAAATGAGAACAACACCCCACCCCCCAAAGGCTTAAGAGGGACTTTCTGCTTTGGTACCTCTTTTAAACCCTACACCCCTAAACTCTGCATTGCTAAACCCGACACCCTTGAACCCGAAACCCCTGCCGGGCCCTGAAGCCCACACCCCTAAGCCCTAATATAAGGGCCTAGATAAGTAGAACAGGGTTTTGGGGCCCATTAATTTTACTATGATTATACTAAGGAACCCCCAAACTAGTATTGGTACTTATCTAGGCCCCTACATTACTCCTCGCGAACGTTGTTCTCGAAAGCCCCGTGGGGCTGAGAGTGACTTGGCTTTAAAGTTAGGCCCCTACCTTTGGTAATTATTTCGGCCCCTACAGTACTCATAAAGACTACTCTTGAGGGTTCAGGGACCCTTCAGGTTGCAGGTCCGGGAAGTTCACGGCACGCAGTGAGATGCCACGGTCTGCCAAACCGGGCAGTGCCATCCTAGGGGGTTCGGAGCTTTACGTGAAGGTTCTATGGGGTTTCTATGAACTTTTCTAGGGGTTTCATTGTAGGTTCATGGGGCTTTATAATGTTTTGTAAGGTTCTGTAAGGTTGGACAAGGGGTTTAGGGGCGGGTTTACGGTTTAGGCTTTCTGGGTCGAAGGCTTAGGGGTTCAGGAATGAAGCTTCGGGGGTACTTATTCGTTTAGCTTAGGGGTGTTAGGGCTGAGGGCTGCAAGCCAGGCTTCGTTCATTTCCTGAGACTGAGACAAAGGATTTGCATAAGATGATCATGGGAGTTCTGATGACACAGGCGCGGATGGGCTCTGAGATCTCTGCAGGCTTGATTGCACTATACGCAAAGTTGGGGAGTTGCTCTGGGGGAACTTGAGGTTCCGGGTTTTGGACGTTTTGGATGGTTTGGGAGTTGGAGGTGCTTCCGGGCCATGATTCTGCATTGTACTGGCTTACTTGACTCAAAGGCATACAGTGCTGAGTACGAACATCTTATATCATGATCGCTTGCAGTGCGGTACCACCAGACCCGGACTTGACTCGGGACCCTAGCACTCCAAGAACCGAAATTCAACACCCTAAGCCCCAAACACCTCAACTCCTCGACCCTAGATACGAAATGGTAAACCCAACTGTCATTAAATTAAGCACAAGGAACCAGGAGGCATCCAATTGAAAAAGCTGCGAGGTCTCCGCAGCATTAAGCCTTTATGTCTAGGCGTCGGTGGAGGGTTTTGTGGTTTAAATGCCAGAGTTTAGGGTGGTGGCGTTCGTCGAATCTTCTATTTCTTACCGTGCCCGTGCTGAAGTGTAAATAGGCAGAGTGATGTAGCCGTACAAGACACGAACATCACTTGTTGACACGCCTGCCTGTCCACGTGCAAATTCAGTGCAAATGTAGTCATGACTCATGGCTGTAGAAGATTCAATGAAACTGTTGGGCGGTACTCGAAGGCTTGAATGCCTGCACGGACTGCCTTCATGGACACTTGACAGAAATGCGCAGATTTATTATTGATGTACTGTCTGGTTCAGGCTCGCGACCCTAGACGACCAACCTGGAGCTAAAGTCCATTTGTGCGAGCCTTCAACTCGAGCCGGAATCCCCTGAAGGGCTTGCGGGTTTAAGGATTGCAGGGACTCGGGACAAGGGTTGCGGAGCATGCCACGAAGTGCTCACAAGAGTCCAAGTCGCTCCAGCTTGCCGCACCGGTGCCTGCAGCAATGGTGCCGCCTAAACATGAAAAAACGTGAAAATACTGATGATGTCCATATGTGGCTCTGGAAGGCACAATAGCGACATCCGCCGATCGGGAGCAACCCCAGACGACGAGGTAATCGCTTCTGCCGATATTGAAACTAACGGATAATTACCACGGGGTCTTCATAGGGCCAAGTGCTATGACTGGTACTGTTTCACTATGTTGATACTTCAGGAGTAGGAGGGACAGGGGGTTACTAGTGTTTGCTGTGGATAACAGATTCCTGTTAGTGGTTCTGCTACTACAGCACTCATACCAATGCTGATGAGGGGAATATAGAACTGCAAGGTCTTTCGGTCTTTTCTGAAGAAGAATATAAGCTTGACATCATGAATCGCTGTCCTGGCTTGCGTGATGACCGTGCAGTGCCACCATGTTTCAACACTCCTGGAAGCCATGCCGTTGACTTATAACGCTCTGCGTTGAAGGATTCTGCTTTTAGGCATCCAGGAGTAGCTCCTCTGCATGCAGGTGCAGAAAACGGATTGAAGCTCCTAACCCTGTGAGTCGCTCCACTACTGCCACTGCCTCAAGAAATGACCTGGACGGCTCGCTGCCTGCGAGACACTTCAGCTCATGGAGGAAACCATGTAAGGTCGAGGATGTAGTAAGTTACACGTGGGGTTACAAGTACCGTGGTTGGGCCGTCTGTATCAAAATCAGTGTTGCACCATGTGCAAGATCAGCATCCTTTCAATGTCAGTCCTTTCGGAGTTCTGGCCGAGTCCGAAATCTTTCCGGTCGCTGCGCTCACGCAGGCCTCCAGACTCACAGTGCCGCCCGGCTTCAAGCCAGGTCGGACGACGTAGGCCTGTCTGGACAATCACAACTTACACTTGCCGGCGAAGCTGCGACATGCACTCTATGACAGGCCGAATCCGACTGGTGTCGTTCTTGGAACAAACTGCACATACGGGGGGCCGAATTCGCTGCGGCCTCATCCTTGGACTTTGTCAGCTTGCCTTCATAGCCCATGTACACGCCCCAGTCCTGCACAGCAGAGGCTTGTAAACTAAATAACATGTGCATCAAACGACTCACGCGATGCAAACCCTTTCTAGCAGAGCAATTGCTGCTGCCACGGCAGGCTGTCCTGAGAAGCCTTGAGGCGATACACCTTGCCTTAGTATACTCTGTGTTGTATGCTATATATTACCTATCATACTTCATACAACTGTACATTACATCTTATACCGTATCAGCTTTCATGCGCAAACTATGTGTTTTCTATGTTTGTATGATAAGCTTGCATGTTTTAGAGGGTATATGCTATCTGCCATTTTTACGTCACATATTGGATGTTGAATGTTATCTGGCATATAGTATTTGATTATATATATTATACTATAGTTCAAACACTACATAGTCTATAAGCACTGTGTATTTCAGAATATATGCCACAATACCATCTACATATGTTCAACTATTATATGTCAACTAACATATTGTGTACATCTGTATTAGAAAGTTACACATTATGTGTTAGTCTCTGGGCATGGTGAGTTTGCAGAAAACTTGGAGGCGGATGCCTTGCTTGTCCTGATATAATTGTCGAAGGACTATAATGGGGACGTACTTACAAGTCTTTCGGAGTTCCGAATTCGCTCTCGAGAGCTCGGCAGGTGTGCCCGAGGCCACGGCCGGGTGCCAGGAGGCGTTTCGGCTCCGCACACTGATGTGGGGACGGCCTGAACGGAGCATGCAAACCATCCTGCAAATCGTCGAAATGGCAGCTCTGTCAGGTTTTACGGGTAGGGACAACAGAAATTTGAAAAAACGTGAACCCTGAACCAACTCCTGTTCCTATTGCCACCGCTAGAATACTTTCTCAGCACAGCTGCTGTGGTCCGGTCGTTGGCACGCCGCAGCCGACACAAGGCCAACCATCCTCCTTCAGGGGGCTGGATCACCCATAGTAGTTGCAATCATGATACGGATCGTGCGATTGTTGCATCGCTGTCGTCGTCGTCGTCCTCGTCGCAAGTTGTGGTCGTTGTGACTGGCTGCGGCAGCAGTGGAGGGGGCAGATAGCCCTGGCCGATGTTGTCGTCGTCGTGGCGGCCGCAGTGTTGTCGGGGGTGGTGGTGGTCGTCGTCGTCCTCCACCTTCTCCTTGTCGTCGTCATCGTCGCAGTCGTCTCGCCCCAGTCGTAGTGGTGAAAGAAGTGGTTTGGTGGTCTGCAGTAGTAGGAGGAGTTGGAGTAGTAGTAGTAGTAGTAGTAGTAGTAGTAGTAGTAGTAGTAGTAGTATTGCATTGCCCTCGTCTCGCAAAGCTCCTGCGTTCGACGATGAGGGACAGACATATGTCCGGCGGTTCGAAGACCGCG